GTCAACCTCTATGTCCCTTGCCTGTACAGCCCCTTGCCAACCCCCATGACCCCTTGTCAGCTTTACATCACTCTGACCCGCGTTGTCTTTATCAATTGTTGTTAAATTCTATGTCCCTTGCCAACCCCATCACCCCTTGTCAGCTTTTCCTCGCTCAGATCCGCGTTGTCTTTCTCAGTTGTTGTCAACCTTTAAGTCCCTTGCTTGTACAGCTCCTTGCCAAACTTGTACTTGCTCCTTGCCTTGGGGTTTGGCAAGGAGCTGTACAAGCAAGACCCCTTGTCAGCTTTACATCACTCTGACCCGCGTTGTCTTTATCAATTGTTGTCAACTTCTATGTCCCTTGCAACCCCATGATCCCTTGTCAGCTTTTCCTCGCTCAGATACACGTTGTCTTTCCCAGTTGTCAACCTCTAAGTCCTTTGCTTGTACAGCTCCTTGCAAACCCCCATGACCCCTTGTCAGCTTTCCATCGCTCAGACCCGTATTTTTTTCTCAATTGTTGTCAAACTCCACGTCCCTTGCCTGTACAGCTCCTTGCAATTCTTCATGACCCTTTGTCAGCTTTTCACCGCATAGATCCACGTTGTATTTCTCAGTTGTTGTCTACCTCTATGTCCCTTGCCTTTATAGCCCCTTGCCAACATCTAAGACCCCTTTTCAGGTTTTTATCGTTCAGACCCGCGTTGTCTTTCTCAAGTGTTGTCAGTTTCTATGCCCCTTGCTTGTACAGCCCTTCGCCAACCACCATAACCCCTTGTCATCTGTCCGCATACCTCCTCCAGGCACAAAACTGTGGCACGTATTTAGTATTTAATAGCCTAATAAACCAATTTCAGAAGTAAAACTCTCATGAGAACATCTTTTAGCTTCCTTATCTTAAAATCCAACCTTCTGTCTCGCAATATGAGGTAATGCAACTAATTGGGACTTGTCTCTTAACGTCTTAAATTGTTACCAGACATAGTTACACGGTTTTATTGTCTACCAGTTCAAATATGCGTGTTATGAGTTACTCCACCATATTGTCTCTGAAATGGAACTCAAGGAAGTAAGGCTTTGTTTATTTATTTATTTTTAGGAAACTACGTAGAATAATGTTTTACTCCAGACAGAACCCGGTGTGTTCAAGTTTGTTAAGTACTTTAATCCAAGCTATTAATTCCACACTTAAAACTTAATATGACAATGCACAATGTAGAAAAACAACATTGTTCCGGGATAGTTTTTATTAAAGGTACAAGAAATCCAGATTTTTTTCCTGTCATATTTGGTGCTCCATCGTTCGTAATATTACATGTATTTGTTATAGGCACTTTCAAAGTATAGGCCCTTCCTGAAATTCACGAAAAATATCACATCCCGTTGTAGTTCCCTTTAAAGCAAGGTTTCTTGAACGTTTTTCAGTCGCGACCCCTTTTTATCACTGAGATTTTTTCGCGACCACCAGGACCCCATAATATTTACAAAAATTTTGTGGGACCCCATACGTATTGCGCAAATCCGACATACGTGTGAGTAAAACTGTCAATTTTTTTCACTTGTACTGTAATATATTTCAATTCATTAACTTTAATTTCTAATTTTAAGACATAGAACAGTGTGAAAATTTTAAATAAGTTACAGACGAAATGACAGCGTCACGTGCAAAGCAAAGAAAAGGTGTGGTGGTGTATTTAATTACAGCAAAGCATACTAGGGCTATCTGCCTAAGGGGAAGGATGCCTTCGTGGAGGACTTTCTAAGGGAAACTGGCTCGTATACGCGTTACACAGCAAAGAAAAGGAACGTTATATTGTTACGTTTTTTTCCTTTCTTCTTCTGACATCAGTTGTTGCATTATTTTCTTCCTTCACGTTCGTGCGGGGTTTGTAGATTTGGAGTGAATAACGACGACACTTGATGAAGTATCGAAACACACTTCATTTAGCCAACATTAATCAAGGACAGCTCCAATAACACTTTTTACAGTCATCGAAGACCCACTATAAACACGCTGGAACAATCAGCGACACAGCCTTCACACTGACAGGCAACAACGGTGGAGATAGCTTCACCTCAAAACACCAGAGTACAGCTTCCGACTCTGTTTGGTCATTGTCGGAACTCCACGTACTCTCCAGACTCTCCACGTGATGCACTCGACGATACACAAGAGTATAGTTCTCGACTCAGCACAGTCTAAGACAAAACTCGTCGATGCACTAATTCGCGATGCACTTAAAAGAGTCTTTCGATGCACTCGACGACCCACTCGGCGGTCGACTTCGAGACACTCGCTGAATGACTATCAGCTCTCTAGACAAGGCACACACACTCTGAGAGACGCACACTGACGGCAGACTAGCAGGGTTTATGTAGCTGTCGGCTTTTGTTCGGGAACATTCTGGGCTAAACCGGTAAGAATTCGTTCCAGAAGGTTCTCCCACAGTCCATGGCATATCGCCACTTTTGTCGCCAAATGGGCGATTTCTCGCCAAATGTGGCAACCTTGCCGTCTTTGCAATTTTATGGCAACCCTAAAACTGCTTTGCGGGAAAGCTATCTTACCGCGCCTGTACATTTAGTAACAATTTTATAAAAAGAATGCGTCGAAACGTTTTCGTTGTTTTCTTTTGTCTGTATTGTCTTATCTGTATCTATTTTCAAATACATTGTGTAAAAATATTTAGTAATTGTAAAATTATTATAATAAGCTAAAAAAAATATCAAAGCTGCTAAAAATTTTCGCGACCTTCTGCTGCAGGTCCCGCGACCCCCTTGGGTGTCGCGACCCACAGTTTAAGAAACCCTGCTTTAAAGAACGTACGCACGCCAGTTCCTCGGTAACTTCAAAGTTCTCATCAACACCTCTCATAAATAATACTAATTGAGCAGTGTCATTTACATCAGTGCTTTCATCCATAGCTATGGAGCAAAATTTAAACTGGCCAATCTTTGGTTCTAATTGTGATGTCAAATTTTTATCGATATCTTCGATTCTAGAAGTTACCGTTTTTCGAGATAAGCTTACAGTCTCAAAATTACTTTTCTTGTCTGGACATAAAAGAACACAAATTTGGAGTAGGCATTGTTTAACAAACTCCCCATCACGAAGAGCTTTATTATTTTAGCAATATTATGTGCTACAATGTAACTTGCATGTGTAGCTGCTTCTTGGATACTGTTTACTGTCTTGAAAAAATTTTGTCGGCTTGATAATTTTTACAAAGACTTTATGCACCTTGTTTTCTTCCATATTCGGACATTGCTTCGTAACTGGAATTTTTATGCTTAGATGTGAAATCATGGGAACTGTTATATTCTTTAAAGACTGCTACAGCTTCAATGCAGAGGAGACTCGTTGGTTTTTCTTTTACAACTGTAAAAATTATTTCCAGGTCCATTCATCATTAAAAGCAAGGCACTCTGAATCGATTTTAAGTTTTTAGTAGCCAATTTGGGGTTGAAATATTTTACGAATAACCCAAACAGGCATTAGCTACTCTACAGTTTTAATTAATTTCACAATGATGCTATATGTTCCGCAAGTTTACCATACACAGTCAATAATATTAGAACTCGCGCCAAAAGGACAAAGTCGCTGACTGCAGCTTACAACGCGCCACATGTGATAGCTAATTCACCTATATTGGATTCCCATGTGTCTGCTCCCGGAGAAAGAGATAACGCTTGTTGGCGACAGTCTACAGCTTAACTAACAAGCACTGATGCCACACAGAGTGTCACTGTGAGTCACTAATGAGTACAGCTCCCGACTCGGTTCGGTCGTTCTCGGAACTCAAAGTACTCTAGAGACTGTCCCCGCTGTAACTCGCGATGCACTCGACGATACATTCGATAGCCTCAACGATGCATAGCCTCTCGATGCATTAACTCGCGGTACACTGCCAAGACACCTCAACACTAGACCTGACGATCAACTCGTCAAACTCACGATCGACTAGACTACGAGACAATCTCACGAGTCACTAACTCACAATACACTCGACGACCAACTCGACACTAGACTCACGATCAACTCGAGACCATGAGACACTCCCTACTTCCGAATTTAACACTTTACCGATTAAAAGCTGTCTGGGCTTGTTATTTCCGTCGATTTAGGTTTTGTAGACCAAAATAGAGATAGTAAAAAGATCATCAGTCTTTTGGAAAAAAGGAAGAAAAAATATAATATTTAAACACAGTAGACAAGAAGATGGATACATAATATATAAATATATATGTCTTTTAATTTGCCTCAGACCGGCAAATTAAAATTCTATCCGCGAGCCGGATAGAACCTTCCGACAGGCCGTAGCTTGCGCCTCCCTGGTCTAGATACTAGGAGGCATGAGACCTCCCTTTGCAATGACTTCGGCCTTTTTGTTCTTAGTTCTATTGTTTGTAAGATTTTAATTCTTTGTAACTTTGTAGAGTCATTAGGTTATTTTTAAAGCGGGAGTAATGCAAAATGACCAACGCCCTCGCCGAGAATCGAACCACTGACCTCTGTAATACGCGCCCAGCGTGCAGACCACTACACTAAGAAGGCATGGTAAGAAGGCGGGAGAAACACCTTATATACTCCCCCTTTTAAAGGGCGATTGGAGATTTTTAGGGGACCCAATCGCCAAATCCTGGGTGTGGAGAAACATCATCCACCACCCTTTTTGTTCGAGACGTTAGGTTGATTGAAAGTCGGAGAGATGAAAAATGAGCAACGCCTACGCCGGGAATCGAACCACGGATCTGTGGAATACGCGCCCAGCGTGCAGATCATTATACTGCGAAGGCCTGCTAAGAAGGCGGAAGAAATGCTTTATAACTTTTTGCTTAACCATTTGAAATAAAAAAAATAATAATGGAAATAATAAAATATGAATGCATTTTAGAAATAAAGTTTTCAGTTATAATGTTATCACACATACCATCAATGTAATGTTCGTTTATAATATATGTACTTTATAATATTTGGAAACTGCAATTTGTTCTGACCTGTCTTCTACTTTTTGCAGCTGTTGGCGGAAGAAGAAATGAGACTTCATACCATGTTGTTTTTGCCCCTACTCCCACTGGTCACCGGTGTTCCTAACAATTGGCCAATTAGAAGAATGAGCAACGTTACTGGAGATATCATCTTGGGTGCTCTTTTCCCGATCCACGAGAGAAATGCCAAATATGAATGCGGAAGATTGCAGGTAAATATCTGCTTTTTTAAAAAGTCAAATGTAATGAAAAAAAAAAAAAAAAAAAAAAATCCGAAAGGTTTCAGATTTGAACGGTGGCCCGAAAGGGTTTGTTAAGGTTTTTGACGCTCTCGCTCGGCTCGTAGTCTACCAGTCTGCTGTTGCATTCACTCCTAATAACCTATTTTGTCTTTTTAGCTCAAGCATAATGTTTTAGTCCTTTCGCCATATACCATTCAACAGTAAAATTTTAAAAAATTGAAAAGCAAGATAGCAATTAAAATTTGAGTTTTAGCTGAAAACTTCATAGTGTCATGTGAATATCGTTACCGACATGCCGCGTGGAAAAAAATTGCTGGATCGCAAACGAGAAAAGTATAAATCTATGCGAATTTAAATCTTAAAGTCTGAGTTAGGTTTTATAGATCTCTTGATCTTCCTCTTGAATCTTCCCTTTTGATGCTATAGAACGGGGTGTTTTCGGTGAAATTAAAGCCATCCTATGGTTGATTTTATCATAATTTAATATTAATATTGATAATTATCTTTTCTATACGCATGGATAAGTAGTCATGATGGCAAAGAATATTTCGTTGCTAGGAGGTGTTGTAAGTGATCGTAATATCGTGAACAAATACCTCATGTGGACACCCCATGACTTCCTTGTACGGCCTATTAAATTTTACACATTTTTGTTGAATTTCATTTAAACTTATTTCCTCAAATTTCATTAGAGATATATTTCTCGTTCAATTAATTCAGTTCAGTTCTTCGCGGCAAGGCATAATTATATAAAACTCAAAGTATCTTCATTAAAAATTATAACATACAGAAAAACATAAAACAACAAATACAGTTTAAACATTTCTGCAATTAAAATTAGAGTTTCTGCATAAAAACAAGTATTTCAGCCAGCCAGCGGGCGGAAAGACATATTTTTTGGTGCACAAATTTGAAAGTTTACTTTTAGTCGCACTCGGCAAAAAGACACTGAAGTTGGTGCATAAACTCACTTAATTCACTGTTCTATAAAAAGTTTCAAATGGAAAAAAAAATGGTGGCCTCGTTAAGTTTAGCACCACCTAAACTCTTAAACTGTTGATAATTCTACAATTATTGCATTCAAGATTAACTAAAGATATACGAACCTTAAACGGAACATAGTATGATTTACTCATTTTTAAAGCAAAAACTGCACTAATTTACCAACACATAAGATTAAAAAGAATGAGCTAATCAAACCGGGTAGGATAATGTGTATGTTTGGTTCGGCCGATTGCAACCAAAACGGAAGGTGGGCAACTATAGCAGCCCCATATACAAAATTTCAACGTTCTAAGGCTATTTGGTTTTGTGTTATGCGAGATACATATATATGTACGTACAGATGTCATGACAAAATCTCTTCTGAATCCATTCTAAATCCAATTTGCATGCGATCCGTTTTAAAAAAAGAATCATTTATTCTATCCGTACGTGCAGATATCACTCGAAAACATCGTTCAAATGGATTCGAGAATTATCAGAATGGATATTTTCTTTGAAATATGATACCTGAATCTTTTCGCGATTAGGTTATTATAGGTTTGTCCCGCTTTCTTGGCATACCTTTGTGGTGTGGTGGTCTGCACGCTGGGCGCGTACTCCAGAGGTCCGCGGTTTGATTCCCGGCGATGGTGTTGCATATTTTTCATCTCTCTTGCTTCCACACACACACACACACACAAAATATCTAATGTCTTTACAAGTGGCGCTCGAACTAAAAGGGTGGTGGATGATGACTCTCCGCACCCAGGCTTTGGGGATTGGGTCCCCCTAGAAAATCCAGCCGTCCTTTAAAAGGGGGGGTCTGCATGCTGGGTGCGTAATCCAGAGGTTCGATTCTCGGCGAAGGCGTTGCATATATTTCATCTTTCCTGCTTCCAAAAATACCTAATGTCATGGTTGCATCCTTTACTTCGTACAAGGAAGTCAAATTATTGAAGTATTTCTTGATTTTTCTATCAGCAAACGAATAACAAAAATGTAAATAAATTTCACTGAGTTATGGCATAAGTCAAACATTAATAAAATATGCAGATTGTGCTTATGACAATGTTCTAAAATAATATTTTTATATAAAATATCTTTTAAGTTTACAATGCCATGTTTTTCCCACAGGATGAAGGTATTCATCAATTGGAAGCCTTGTTATTTACTATTAAGAAGATTAATGATGACAGTACCATTCTTCCGGGCGTGAAGCTGGGAGTGCTAGCTTTGGATAGTTGTGACTCAACTGCTTACGCCTTGGAGCAAACACTGGATTTTATCAAAGGGTTCATCGCCAGGAACAATGCCCACGTTGAGAGACAGTTTCTGTGTCATGATGGATCCGTGCCCGTGTTCAGAGACGGTAGTTTTGACAGAGTTGTCGGCATCATAGGTGGACAGTCTTCTTCTGTCTCCATCCAGTTGGCTAACCTCCTTAGATTATTCCGTGTACCTCAGGTATTGTAAACACCTCTTATTCAAGCTAAATGTTTCTCCGCATCAAAGGAAAAAATCTAAACTACTTTCACGATTCTTTAAATAAAATGGCAGGGTATGGATGTTGTTTTCGCAAAACTGATTTCATCTTAAACAAAACTGAAGCAAAAGCTGTGTAGCAGTGAAATGCGTGTATAAGAGAGAAACTATATGAGCGTATACCGGTGTGCTTTAGTATATCTGCTTGTAAAATCGACTTTGTCATTTTTTAAAGGATTAGGAATGATCTTGGCTTATATAAAATGCAGACTAGGGTGCACAATGAAGCGAGCTTTTCGCTGCGTTGAGAAAATGTAGGATCCAGTCTGGATTCAATCGTGACAAGCAACTGCTGCTTTCCTTCTCAAATGCACAAATTAACATTAACATGATTTCTTATCTTTTTTATGAGGTATTTTCTCTCTTCTTCCAGCAAGCCTTCGTGGTGCAACGAGCCTTTAGGATTCTATGGCTCAAATTATGCCTAAATATTAAATTTTGTAAAATTTGGTGCGAAATTTACTGAGAAATTCAATCATTTATCTTGGCTGATTTTTTTTCCAATTTGTGCGTGGAATAATTTACTTGGCGAACTTTTTAATTTATAGCAACCTTTTTTCTATTCATTTTTTTCATTGCAGACGAGCGGAAAAAAATGTCATGGTTCATTCATACTTTCAATTAATACTAACAAAGTGCGTAAACCGCATTTGGCGTTATTATCGCTCAGAAAAAGATGCCAAACGCTCCAATATATAAATTCATGTATATCTTAAAAAATTTTTGAATAAAAAAACTCTAATTTTTTTGTAAGTGTGCCTAGAAATACATATACTTTTAGATTATGCTAAAACTTTTATAGGTTATAAATACAAAAGGTTTCGAAAAATTTATGAAAAATATTTAAAAATAAATCATAAAACATGTGCGAATTATATTTGGGTTAAGTCTAAATTTCGAATTCTGGAAGAAGGAAGGAAGTTTAATAAAAAAAGAGATATTAATAAAGATATATAAAATTCAATTAACATTAAGGAGCTAAACTTTTGAGAGCTACTTTTTTAAAAACTACTCGTGCGATTTTTACAAAATTTGGTAGATTTCCACACTTTGAGTCGTAGAATGGAAATATGGAAAACAATGGGCAGGTCTTTCAGAAAAAGCTCGATTTTATGTCTAAATACCTATATTAGAAGAATGCTGTACATAAATCTAATACATATCCCAAGTCGCGCTTTTGAGACATGAAAAACGTAAGTTGAATTTCATGAATCGGTCCAATAGAACGGAAGATGTAAAACTGACCCCCTCCCCTTTTTTGCGCAGTGTACGTTGTGTCTTGGACGCAGAATTTGTGCTTATGGATGACAACGCCCATCCTAACTGTGCAAACATTGTAAAGTAATGCCTTCGATCTGAGGATATCACCCGTATGTAAAGGCCAGCATACTCAGCTGACTCGAATCCAATAGAGCATGCGTGGAAAATGCTTGGTCCACTAATCGCAGCCCGTCAAGCATCTCCTACATGGACCGGAACTTCGGAGAATAGTGCTTGCTGAGTGAAGTAATCTTCCCCAAGATCAAGTCAATATTTTGTTACTCAGCATGCCTAGGTGTTGTACCGACTGTATTGCATCGTCTGGCAAACATACAATGTATTAACTATCATAACAGCCATGTAATGTTAAGTTTTTGTAAGGGAAGTGTTTTTTTGTAATTGCTCCCGGGAGCAAAAATCATAGTTTTTATGAATGGTATCATGCACACACCATCTTCTTTGTTCTTTATCTTTTGTTTAATAAGTGGGCTTTATGAATAAATCAGGTTTGTTTCACGCCAGAGCTGGTATTATCCTTAATTTATGGACATGAGTGTAATTTAATGCAGTACATTGTCCCCTTTGCCCCGAAAAAGGGAGATTAATGTGTTTTTGTCAACTCTATTCCGCAAAACAAAAGATCCAATGCATCTGACTAAACGAATCATAAGTAGTAAGACTTAAGGCAGTCTGTCTTCGTTTTATTTTTATATTAAGTCTAATAGTAATTCAACAATAAAATGGCTTCGTACGTAAATAAGGACTTTATTTCAAACCCACTTCTTACCTGTATACTATTTACAATGAATTTGTTTTCTATATATTTCAACTTTCCCTAATTTTAAAACTTCTGACTATTTGGAGGAGTCGCGCACAAAAGCATTTCTTTTCAAAACAGCGCCATTTCTCCTTTGCACCGAACCCCCAGGGCTTTGAAAGGATTTGTTTTATTAAAGCGACAGGGAGTATTTCTCTTCTACGTTACCGAAGACTGCAAAGGAAAAGAATCTTTTATGCCAATACTTTTGTGCATTTATTATTCCCGGCGCCTGTCAAAATAAAATTACTCACATTTCCTTTCGTGTGAAATACAAACAGGCAGTTGGATTAACGTTTCCTGAAGTCATATTGCTACATAACACCTTGAGAGTTGGTATTTTATTCTCTGAAGCATGTAAGTGATTATATGAAGGTATTAGGAATAATATATTGTGCACTTCAGCAAGAAAGTTCTTGAAAGATGTACAGTAAGTCCCTGCATAACGCGGGGGATACGTTCCATCGAAGTAGAGCGTAATGCGAAACAACGCTAAGCGAGGCTATCTTAACATGTAAATAATGGGGTTAGGGAAGACGGAAAAAAATAAAAGGTTGCATTAAATTTAATAATTTTTTTAATAAAAATAAAATCAAACATTTATTTATTACAAAATAAAAGAAATATAAACGAATATACTTTAAAAACAAATAAAATTCTCAGTCAGATCATTCAGTCTATTCTGGGTTTCCAATTTTCTGCCTTTTTGTCAAGAAGGCATTATGATGATAGATTGGCTTAAGGGCATATTGCGTTCAATTTCGTCGTCAATCCATATAGACAGTCGTTTTTCCATTTCCTCTATTGTATGTTATTTCTAGAACGGGTAATTTCGTTGCAGAGCTTGCGTAGTTGCCGATGACAGTATTTTTTTATTTATTCTTAAGGAATTGTCCTTATTGTTGAAGTTGCCAAAATCAATGCAGCGCTAATTTGAGATTGACGTTCACCAGAATCTAATCTTCTAATCACTTGCATTTGAGTTTCCAGTGAAATGCTTTTTCTGGTTGCTTTCTTTTCTTGTTTTTTATTATCACCCATGATAAAAACTAAAGATCATACATACTATTTGTCACTGTATTATTAATCGTTATAGTATTATATATCAAATTTAAACTTACAATAATGTCAACAAATGTTGTTTCAAATGATAAAAAGCGTCTGTACTGCACCAAACAACAACTACACTGTTTCGGATATATGTTATTTGGAAACCTAGCGCTGCGCACAATTTCGGGAGAATCCCCAGGTTGAAATAAAAGAGCGCTAAACCGAAACAGCGCTAAACGAAACAGCGTTAAGCGGGGTCTTACTGTATAACCAAACAAAAGAGTTATATTCATTATACTTGAATTCTCTGGTTATATATTATTGAAAGACTCAGAGAATTTTCTAAGGTATGTGATGAAATGAGTTCTTAAACAATTTCAAATATATGTAAAATAAAGCTAAAATTAATTGATAAAGAAATCTGGTTATAAAACAACTTTACCATTTATTAGTGTTAGAATCTTCGAATAAAATAGGTGGCACAATGAGAATTAAACAGAATATAATTATACTCCGGAATGATTAGTAAATTTTGACAGAGCTATACCTCCTTTTATATTTGCATTTTAGGAATATAATTTAAAATGGCAACTTAAGCTTATGACATTAGATCAATATTTAATAATACGCATTGAAGCTTATGTCCGTTGAATTCGATTTGATTCCATTGCTGTTCTGAGAAATAATCATGTCACAGAATAAGTCCCTTTCATTAATGCTTTAAAGTGCATATATAATACTCGCAAAAATAGCTAAAGTAAAATATATACAGTAATATTTGTGGAAAATGCAACGCCATGAGGAATAGTCGGAAAAGAATGAAATTTAATCCACATATTACTGATAATGGTATAAATAAACGATCGAATTTAGGAGATAAAAAAAAAACTAAGCGAATGTTGGAATGTTGGTCAAAAGACTTTGTGTGTCCGCCACGCTGATGAATGATAGCCTGTACACGTCGTGGCATTGAATCATACAGGTTCTGAATGTAATCCTCGGGAATGGCAATCCATATGGCTTTGGCGTGACACCAAAGTTCAGTCTTAGTGTGTGCCCCACCAGCTGTAAGAGCGAGTCGCCAACCGATGAAATCCCAGACGTTCTCAATGGACGACATTTCAGGGAAATAAGCAGGCCATGGAATACGCGAAAGGTGATGTGTCTTGAAGATGGCTTGTGCAATCCGTGAAACATGTGAACGGGCATTATCCTGCTGAAATACAGCGCCCGGAATGTGCCGAAGAATGGGAAGGACCTCTAGCTCCGCAACTTTCCTTTTTCCTTTTGTAGCGATCACTGTTGAGGTTACCGGCAATCTGCACTAGATGGGACCGACAATTATACCCAATAGCTTGCCACTCCATGATGCCAGGCGTTTGTGACGTATGACGCTGGAAAACACGCTGTGGGACAGACGTTATCCTTTGTAACGTCTGATGCGTACTTTTCTATCTTTGTACTCCAGATAGTTACAAGTTTCATTGAAGAACACAACTTGTTGCCACAGGGCACTATGTTACCGTTCCCAATGAAGCTATGTTACCGTTCCCAATGAGCTGTCTGTGGTTCAGCAACAGGAGAGTCCTACGTAGAAGAAACCTTGCACGCAGTTAATGCTGCAGCAAACGGCGACGAACCGGGGAGGTAGACAACACGTCACCTGTAGCCGTGGTCCAACGTTGTGCTAATACACGAGAGAACGTTGTACGATCCGCCACAGCTATACGGATAAGGTGTCTGTTGTCCCGTGCCGTTCTGCTATTGCGTGCCCCACTGCCAGGATTTCGCCTTG